GAATAGAGTAAAGAAGGCTGGAGGGGAGCAGCCTGTCTGGTCTTTGCCTCTTAAGATCAGCCTGGGCCTGGTGTGAAGTTGGACTCTCCCAGTGGGAGGCTGGAGGAGGTCAGGCGTGGCCCCCAGGCCGTGTCCTCAATGACATGCTGACTGCTGTGTTCCCCGTCCCTGGAACTGGAACTGTGGCTACACACAGTCTGCACTCCACCCATGTTTGGAGGGTGAATGAATGGCAGTGGTACTGGTGATGAAAAGTCCTCCAACAGAGTAAGGGGGAAGAGAGAGCCTGGTGGGATGGTGGATGCACGTTGGGCTGCCAGCTGCAAGGAAGGTCAGCAGTTCAAAACCACCAGCTACTCCGCGGGAGGAAGATGAGGCTTTCTACTCCTGTGAAGAATTATAGTCTGGGGAAGGTGGGAAAAGGGAGCTGATGTCAAGGAGTTCATGAAGGAAAAGAATGTTTTGAAACTGATTATGGTAGCAATTGTGCAATACTGCTTGCTATGATTGAACTATGGGATGATATGGTAGCTGTTCTAACTCCCAATAACATGGGTTTGAAAAGTAAAAGAATTACAATCTCAGAAACCCATAGGACAGTTCTGCCCTGTCCTATAGGGCCACTAGGAGTTGGGACTGACGCACTGAGAGTGGGAATTTTGGGAAGGGGCACCGAAAGGTGGCTGCGTAGTAAGTACACACAGGGTAGCCCTTGACTACTCATCAAAAGGCTGCCAGTCGTCAGCAGAAAGACCTGGTCAACACAGCACCAAGAACCCCTCAGGGCCACTCGGCTCTGCGCCCATGGGCTCAACGGGAGTCAGAATCTCCCTGATGGTAACTAATGACAGCAAGGACAGGGGAGCTCACAGGGTGGCGCTGAAGGGTCAGAGGGGTAGGTGCTGTCGGAGGCTGAGTGGTCAGGGGAGGCCTGTCTGAGAGGATCAGAGGTGAACAGATTTCTACAGGAAATGAGAGAAGAAGCCACAGGGATATCTGAGGACAGAGGGTGACGAGCAGAGGTTTGCTCAAGGAGCGGTGAAGAGGCCACTGTGACTGGAGCCAAGTGAGGGACAAGAAATGAGGCCCTTGTGTGGCTGAGAAAGTGACAGGTGCCCCTCCCCGTCACTGCACCAGGCCCAGCACACTCCCTGCTGCCTGGGCCTAGGGCCAGCCCCTGACACCAGTAACACAAAGACTGCCGCTGTGGGTTTCTAAGACGGTCGCTCTCTGCGGGAATAGAAAGTCCCATCTTTCTGCCGAGGAGCGGCTGGTGGTATCGAACTGCAGACTTTTCGGATCCCAGCCCAATATGTAAGCACTGCACACTTCCAGGGCTCCTTTCGCCAGCCCAAGCAAGGAACTATTATTATCCCCAGTTTTCATGAGAGGAAACCAAGACCCCCCAGAGGCAGCAAATCCTGGGCCGGAATCGGGTCTGTCTGATGCCAGACCCTGAGTGCTGCGACCACATTGTCCGGGAAGTCTTTGTTTACAACCCGCCTTCCCCTGGGCTGCAGAAGGCAGGCGGCTCATTCATGGTTTTGTTTTACTCCCAGAGTCCCCTGGGTCAAAGCTGCCAGAGAGGGAATGAATGAAAGAGTTTATGGAGCAAGCCCTGGCCCCCACCTCCTGCCCGGCTCAAGCCTTGCTTGGCATCTCAAGGTCTAGCAGGGGTGGGAAAGAGGCCTGAGCAGAGGAATTTCAAGGAGCCTTTGGGGGGGGGGGAGAAAGTGAAAGTGAGGGAGCCCTGAGCCCCTGTGAGGAGGCGCAGACAGAGGAGGAAATCTCCCGGTCATAATTCATCAGTGCAGGAAGCAGCAGCCTGGCCTGGGGCTGCATGTGAGGCAGGGCCTGCAGGGAGGGGGCTGGCTGCTCAGCCTCCCCCTCCTCCCCACCAAAGCCCAGCCTGGCCCAGGTCATGGTTACATGGGGGGGCAGGCAGGGGGGATAGGAATGGAAAGGAAGCCAGGTGTAGGAACAGGCTTTCTCTGCAGACAGGGAGTCCTGAAGATTTAAAGGGCTGCCCTCCCAACAGGCAAGGGAAACGCCTCAGACATGGTCACCTCCCACCCTGCGCCCCGCAGCCTCCGCCCCTTCTGGCCTGGGTCAGGGAAGTCAGGGAAGCTCACAGCGCAGCTGGGTGCATCTCAGAGAAAACTGAGGCCCCGGAAGGGAGAGGGAGGGGAAAGCACCTAGAACCGGCTGGTCTCCACTTCCAGGGCCCACTCTGGACTCCAGAGGCATTTGAGCTGATGAGAACGCTATTTTCAAGGACAATTGGATGCTGGCTTGGTCAACTTCCGGAATAGGACCAGGAAGTGGGCACTGGAGACGTAGTAATCCCACAAGCCACACTCAAGAGTTCTTCCCAGGGGCTCTGAGGGTGGGAGGAAGGAACCAGGGTCAGGCTGAACCATCTAAGGCAGTGGTTCTCAACCTTCCTAATGCCTAATGCCTAATGCCTAATGCCTAATGCCGCGACCCTCATGTGGTGGTGACCCCCAACCATCAAATTATTTTCATTGCTACTTCACCACTGTCATTCTGCTACTCTTATGAATTGGGCGACCCTTGTGAAAGGGTCGTTCAACCCCCCCAAAGGGGTTGGGACCCCACGGGTTGAGAACCACCGATTTAAGGCTTCTCTGAAGGGAAGAACAGTTGAGCATTGAGGGACAACTGTGAATGTGTGTGTGTGTGTGTGTGTGTATGAATATGTGTGTATTAAATGTGTGGGTATGTGAGTATGTGTGTGAATGAATATGAGTGTGTATAAATGTGTGAGAATTTGTGTGTGTGTGTGTGTTGGTGGTGACCTTCTTAACAGGACAGTCTGGTGTGAGTCGGTTTGGAAGCCGGGAGGCCAGAGAGGTCCAGAGTGAGCCGGTGAGGAGTGAGGTCAATTTTCTTTGACTCTGTAGGCTTTTCCGGAGGGGAACAGCAGGAAGCTGGGCCCCATCACCCCTAGTCAGGTGGTAAATGAGCAAGGAGTCTCCCAGGACCTCAGTGGGGTGCAGTAAAAAAAACAGGCTGGTGTCTGGCAGGCAGTAGGACCGCAACCAAGGGGTCAGCTCCTTCAGCGCCAGGAGTTTGTTTGTTCCCACCTGGATCCTCAGGAACGTGCTTGGCGCACAGAAGGAACTTAACAGATCATTTAGTGAGAAGATGAATGAACGGTGCTGTGTGTGTGTTTTGTTTCGCTTTGTTCTCTACAGCGTGTTCACCGGAAGGTAAACCCACTGCCTTCGAGACATTCCAACCCACAGTCACCTTCTATAGAGTTTCAGAGATCAAATCCTTACAGGAACAGACCGCTTGCACCTGCGCACCTTCTCTCTGGGGAAAGAGCCGGTGGTGTGAACCGGGAACTTTGCGGCTGGCACCCCAGGGCCTAGCTCACCGCGTGGGGTAATTCTTATTTAGAGAGAAGCACGCTTTTTGTCAAGGGTTTTCCCTGCACATCATCTCCTGCCTTTACAAAAGGCAGGTTCCGGGCCCCGCCCCGGAGCTTCTGAGTCAGATGCGAGCGAGCTGGACCTCTGTAAAATCCCAAACACCTCCTCGTCCCCAATTCTTCATGCACTCGCCAACTGCACGACCTCCGCCGTAGGATCGGAGGGTGGGAACACTCGAGCCGCCAGTTTCTTGGTCACCCGGCTACCCGGGGTTCAAACTGAGCCCTAGAAGGGAAAGGGCCCTGCTCCGCGTCTCCCCGCAGGGCTCTAAGGACTAGGAGACTGGACGCTTGATCCGCAGCAAGCTGGACGCACTCCGGTCCCCCCAACCCCATCCGATCTCGGGTATTTGATCTGGGCGAGCCCAGAGAGGATCTCCGAGCCTTCGGGGCGGATCACCAGCTCCCCGGGCCGCTTTCAACCTGGAAGCCGGGGACGGTGGGCGCGTCCCCA